ATTATTATGTTGTGAAGGAGATTTCGAAGAAATCTTGATGAAAAAGGTCTATCAAAGCATGAGAGTAGACAAGATATGTATATAAGATATTATATAACATACATATATATATATATATATTATATATATATATATATATATATTATATATATGTATAATATAGATAGATTATAGATATTATATGTATATATATATGTACACGTATGTATATCTATTGATAGAAGAATAGATAGATAGATATGAAGAATGGATATAGAACGGGAAAGAGGGTGAAAGACAATAGATAGGTAGGTCGGTACGTACGTATATATTTATATATATATATATATATATATATATATATATTATATATATATAATATGATATTATATGTATCTATATGTATGTATATATAAATATGCATATATATATATATATATATATATATATATATATATATATATATGTATAATATATATATATATATATATATATATATATATATATATATATATATATATATATATATATATATATATATATATATATATAGAGGAAGAGAGAGAGAGAGAGAGAGAGAGAGAGAGGGAAGAGTTAGATAAACAATATACAGAATAGATAGAGAAAAGAAAAACAACCACCACACACACCCTTCTCACTCCACACAAAAAAAAAAAAAAAAAAAAAAAAAAAAAAATCAATCAGTCCGGCCATAACATAAACACATAACACACCATTTGCGAAGTTACCTTCCCTCTTTATCTATTACGAAGAAAAAAAAAAAAAAAAAAAAAAAAACACAACTTGAGCCCTCGCACAGACTACAGATTCATCCTCGTGTTCTCGAGTCGACCTTCAATCTGCATATATATTAGTTCGATCCCCCTTTGCTCGACTCCCCCCCTCCCCCCCCCCCCTCCCCCCTCCGTGCCTATCCGACTGACACTTGGAAACTTTTTACCCTATTTTTTTATTCGGTTCTTTCCGTTCTCTTTTACTTCTTTCTTTTTATTTTATTGTTTTTTTTTTTTATTTCTCTTATTTATTTATTTTTTTTTATTATGGTACGTAAGACGTGTTGTTATACGAAGAGTAAACGGATAACAGCTTTGACGACGAAGAATTTAAAAATAATAAATAAATAAACAAATAAAAAATGGAAATTTTAAAAAAAATAACCGAATGTTAGCATCACAATATTAAACAACCTTCTGAGATGATTATAGAAAAAATATGCACTGCTCGCCAAAAATTGATAAGATTTGGACAAAATAGAAAAAAGAAAAGAAAGAAGAAAAAGAAAAAGAAAGAAAGAAAGAAAAAAACACGTGAAATCTGGATCACGATTTTGTGTCTCGAAAAAAGACAAACTGGCCACTCACCGTAATACGCCAATTCGATTTATTTTAATTGTTTATTTATTTATTATTTATTTATAAGATAAGCTGACAGCTAAAAACTACACCTACATAGATCTGTTATTCCTCTTAACTCACACAATATCTTCATAATTTTACACCAATTCATCTTTATCATTATTACCTAAAATAGACTCGGAGTGCTCCAGCTGCTATAGCGAGTTGCCAATTGTTCCTTTTCCAATTTTCGACGGAGACCGGCTCCCCAGACGGGCGAGTGGGCGTGGCCAAGACAGGGATAAACTTGACCTCAATTCATGTCCCAGAGTTAGGTAAAGGCCAGTCGAACCCTGACCTTAACCCACTGGACACGGGGACATGTACTAAAAATTGTACCTTTCTTCGTTGTGAATTTCGTTGCACATAGATGGCTCCACATGTGCTCAGCCGCCAAGGAGTCTGTTAGTAAGACCGAATGACCTTGCTTAATTTTCCACATTCCTTGAGTTTGCTGGATTACAAAAAAAAAACAAAAAACAACAACAACAACAACAAAACAACAACAATAACAAAAACAAAGCAAGGAAAAATATATATACATACCGTTTGTATGCTATTGATATCAATACTGTTATTGTTTTCTTATTTTTGTTATTATCTTTATCATAATTATTATCATTATCGCCATTATTGCCATTGTTATTATTAATATTTTCATTATTATTGTTATTATCAATATTTCATTATCATTGTTATTATGAAAAAAAATCATTATTAGCTTTTATTAATATTTTCATTATCATTGTTATTATCATTATTGATAATATGATTATTGTAATGTTATTAGAATACTAATGCAAAAAGTAATAAGGAATAAACAGGGAAGATAAAAATTAATAAATGAAGTGATTAAGCACTTGTGAAGTCTCTATGTAAATATAATCAACAATAATTGCAGTGGGCATGCCA